AAATAAAGTTATTCCGGTGTTTTGATCATTTTTCTTCCTAACCATCATAATAAAATAATTTTTATAAACACATGAATTTTTGATCTCGTTTAATTAGGTTACATTAAAATAGGAATGTTGTTATTAATATAACGATAAAATTACATACACTTAGTTTTAAATAAACTACAAAAATTATTAGTGTCCGTACTCGACGAAAATGGTGTAATTTTATGAGCAAAACGATGAAATAAATTGTTAGTTAAATTTTATGAGCAAAACCGGGTAACAAATTGTTAGTTAAATTCATTATATCAAAAAATGGTATTCCGGTGTTTTATTTTTGTTAAAATAAAAACTAATGAATTTTTGATCTCGGCTAATTTGGTTTATATTAAAATAAGTATGCTGTAATTAATATAACGACAATAATACTTTGCAATGAAAATGTGTATCTGGTTCTTTTGTCTTCGACTGTACTCGATGCTACTCGACGAAAATCTGGACAGTGAGGATCGCGTAGCGTAGAGTAGGGTAGTGTTGCGTGGCATCGGCAGATGCGCACAAGGGTAATACAATCTTAGAAAAATGGACTTTGGATTTGCGTCGGGTAGCGTCGCATAGCGTTGCATCTGGTAAGTGTGTTCCCAGATTAATGGTTGCGTTGGGTCAACAGCACATATGCCGAAGTATTACCAAATAGAATTGTTAACTGAAATACTGGTAAAATTGTTGGAAACTGGGTTTCTGAGGATAAAATTCACCATCAATAACCACCAAGTGTAACATCCAACGAATTCAAGAAACCCAATCAAAAGTCGTTAGGAGAATTCTCAAAACTCCTTACTATGTCTGCACCATAACATTCTGCTCGTCAATGAATTAATCCATTCCCGCTTCCTCAAGCTTCCGTCTCATCCAAAGAACCCTCCACTTTGCCTCAAACGGCGATGTCCCCGAGACCTCCACACTTTAACCCGACAAGAAACTGTGTGCCAGCATTGGCTTGCTTCTCATAACACATGTCCTCCGGGTGCAGTACTAGATTTTAAAGCACTAGGAGCTATTTGTAGTGTATGCACAGGATTCAAATAAATATTTTTTAACTATTTAAATTATATTTGTGAAATCATACTTCTTTTATGATTTAGACCCAATTAAAAATGGTAAAATACGTTTCCTATGAGAAGGAATCGATTCTAACCAAATAAGAAGAAAACAGCAATAAAACAACAATAAATGGCACCGGAATAAAATATTTCAAATGCCAATTAGTTAAATTATGTAGTTAAAAACATTGACTATGCATTGATTTCCCACCAATGATCATTTCGAAAATGGCTTTTATCCAACTTAACCGGGTTTAAAAATTGGTTGATTTCCACTGTTTGCATAATTGGGTGGCAAAATCCTGAAACAGTCACAACAGGGTCTTGGCATGACAACCGAGGAATCTAAATCGGCGTCCGTGTCCTCGAATCTGAGCCCGAAATAGTCTTTTGGCAGTGGTCGAAGGATCTGGGTTGATGAGAAGAACCACTTGAAAGCAGTTCTCGGCCAAACCGCCGTCAAGCCGTCGTACTTGTCGAGTGGGAAATTTCCAAAATCCCGCCGACGGAAAAAGAAAAGAAATGCCGATTTCGATCGATGTACATCTCGATGCGCGATTGGGGTTAAAAATAGCATCACGTGTAACTGACACACGTCATAATGTAATGACGTCATTAATGAAAGAACCTAAATATGTGCAATTACATCGAGTTAAAAAAGGAATGGTTATTTTTAACCGAATGCTTGACAGATTAATAATTGAAACGGTTTACGATCGACGGTCGAAACTGCGGTACGTTCGGGTTTATCGTTGTTTGAAAAAAATCAGTAGAAACTGATTAAGATGGAAATTTTTCTCAAAAATGATTCACAACGCTCGAAAACTTTTACTTGCAGAACTAATTGAAATATCTTGCTTACAGATTAGCACAGTCCATTACGATATCGACATCCACTTATCAATCGTCAATTCTTCAAGTCTGGATGTGTTAAGCGTAGGGGGGATAGAATTAACATTTAATTATAAAGTAGAACTAATGGGACGAGGGAAACAAATGGTTTTTCCAATGGTCTAATGAAATGTTAATTTTGTTTTTGCTCAAATAGGGAATCCTCGACATTTGGAGACATTATTGGAAACCGATTTGGAAGGGCAAGTTTCAAAGACGCCCAAAAGTACCACTTCATACTTGAATCCATTGTCGCGATCCAGCCCTAAGTAAATTTTTTAAATGAAAATTTGATTTGGTTGGTGACGCATTGAGGATACGGCGGAGAACTTTGGACAGAAAGGATTGGATTCGTTGGATGTTGGATAATTTCGACTCGCAGTTCGACTCCGTAAGTCCAAATCTGTCAGATGAATGTTTTGTAAGCCGTTAGTTTATTATGTATGCTTAGTGTTGGTTTTGGCCCCAGAAGGTGACTGAGTAGTGAATATGATGAGTCAGCTATCTAAGTAAAGCCCATGGCAGTGGGTTTAGTTGGATGGTTGGATGGTGGTATTAAGTTTTTGTTTAGGGGCATTGGCAGGCAGGACGATTCTGACGATTGAGCGAATACGTTATTTGTTAATAGAAATGATGAATGATGGAGTGAGTGCGGTGTTCAATCCTTTTTTAAAAAGAAAGTTCCCACTCACAGTAAGTTTTGTTTATCCAATTCTGTTTTAGGTACAAATTTTAAGCCTTTGTTTAATAAATTGTTTTCTTCTTTATTTAGTACCATGTTTGTTATGTTTATAACCGTTGGGTAAAATTTAACTGGAGTTTTTGGGTCTTTATGAGTATTTTTATTTTTAACCGCACTTTAAGTTTTTAATTTTTTTATCTAATATACTTTGTTTTTTTATCATTGATAAATTTAACTTTTGATCGCGTATCATAATCGAAATACTCACCTACTGTGAGTAGGAACTATCTTTTTTTTAAAAAAGGACGTTACTTGTTGGCTTTACCTTCCCGCCACCAGTCGGTAATGAGGTTTACATGTTGGATTGGTTTTATGGCTAGGATAGGATTGGAGTGGGTTTATAAGGTTGTGAGTAGAGTGTGGGTACGTCAGCAGTGAAGATGGTGTACAGGATTGGACCTAGGATACTTCCTTGTGGCCAGGAATGATTGGCGTGATGGGGGAAAAACAGTTCTGATTCTCACTTTGAGCCATCGATCCGAGAGGAAGTACTTCAGAACCAACACACTTACTAACAAACTGCGGAGCTACACTAGCCCGCAGGAGGAAGTGTTTTGGGATGTACAATGTGACCATAGAAGAACTACAACCACTGAAACCGGGCCTATTAATCAAGTTTCTTGATGAAATAGGACTCACCGATGTGCTTTAGGCAGAGCACAGGGGATACAATAGCTCTTAAAGGGCGCAGTATACCATACCCTGAAATATTACATCTACATCTACATCTACAAGTACTTCAGAATGAGATGTGTGATGGAGGAAACGTTTTAACTTGTAAAAGAGACCGAGGTGCCACACTCCGTTGAATGCTTCCGTAACGTCCAGAAATACGGTTGAACAATATTGTTTGTTTATCCGAGGGTATCGTGTCGACTACTCTAAAGCACTGCTGAAAAGTACAATTGTCAAAATCTAAATTGATGGTTAGGAACTAAGTTTACAGAGTCGAATATGGGAATTAGTCTTTAATGAGGTGACGTTCAAAGGTTTTGCATAAAATATCATTTTGGATAAAGGAGGCTTATTGGTCTATAAGAGAATGGAGCATTGGGAGAGTTGTGTGGTTTTGGTATCGGGTGTATACATTTTTTGGGGGTAAATTTCGGAGGATTTTAGAGGTCCGCAGATCGCGATGCGGGTTATTCCTTTCGGACCGGCTTAAAATCTGAGACAAGACGTCCGTGGGGTGAAATGCGTGGGGGGTCAAGGTATTTAGCAATATGATCTGTGTGTGACGCGACATTCAGATCGGGACTGTGGACTAAAAACCGTAGAAAGGTGGTCCAAAAAATGCTAACACTTTTCTGCGTTTGACCTGGCCCAGGTACCGTTCCGAGAAGGCACATAGTAATGTTTGGTAACCATTTTAGTAGTTAGTCGTCATAGTAGATAGGCTAAAATTTGGCCCTGGTCGAAATTCCCTTTCGATTCGCCCCAACGCGAACAATCGCAACATTGACTTACAACTAGGGTTTAATGAGCGGATCGTGCGCAGGTGCACTGAAAAGACCAACTCGTCAGCAAACAGCAAAACCGCTCACAATCGAAAATGTGTCATCACTTGGAAAGCATAAGGCTCTTCATTTAATTCTCGTGCCTTTTTGTTGACCAATTCTTTCGAAACTAAGTCAAACCCAGGACATTCATTTGTAGATGATTTATACTTGCGATTTCGACGAAGTGCAAGGGGATTTCGTTTCCGTTCTCATAACCGGTCTAAGAATGTTTACTCTTTTTTCGAGGACAGATGGGATGGGAGCCTGAAGAAATGGTACCTTGGTAGTTCTGATCTGCGTTGGATCTGTAGTCGTTGGGCCAATTACGTCCGACGTTTCACCGCTTTGACCCCCCTGGTTGAAAATCGGGACCGCAGAAGAGTAGGGGAAAATCGGCCCTCTTTCCCTTTTCCTATAATAAAACTACTGTTTCCAAAAGCAAATTTTCGGAATCGAAGGAAATCGAATTTGTCTACCTAATCGGTCCTCTAATACGGAATTTGCTCCTACGAGCTCCCTTCTCAGGGCGGTCGGCTTACACGCCTTCAGTGGGGGGGACTTTGCAGAAATCGAAGGGAAAAACGGTGTGCGAGTTTCCAATCGAAACTCGAGGAATGGTACCGCCAGGGAATCGATCAGTCGGCCTCTAGATTATAACAACCGACGAGCAGCGACCTGCATTTCAATATCTGGCAACAATTAATAATCAAAATATTTTTTAAATAACATCTCGAGAAGGTTTTTCACGTTCGTAAAAATGAAAGACAAACGCCGACTTACCACAAAAACGTCAATCACAGTTCCCAATGTTTCTAGATTTTTGCGTTCGCCCAGGTGCATAAGCCGTCTGAAAAAGAACAGAAATAAATAATAAATATGTCCAAAATATGAAGAGATTATTTATTCTGAACAATGCTACATGAGAAAAAGAATGTCACGATCTGGTGTAATGATATCACACACAAGGTACAAATTGGCACATTACTTGTTTATATGTTGTTATTATTATTATTATTAGGGACGGCAAACTACTTGATCATTGCAAGGACTTGTCCTGTATATCACGCGTTTTATTTCTTCTAATTTCTAGTGTTTCTCCAGCCAAGTTATGATGCTATGTGATATAACCGTAACCGACTCTCTCTATTGTTTATCCTATTGTTAGCCCCTCTGTAGCACAGGGCTTCGTCAATTGAGTTTAAATTGAGTGAAATTAAAGTGAGTTGAAGTCAATAAAATAACACATCGCGCTAATACATAATATTCACACACCAGACTTCTTTCACACTACTCCAGAGTACTCGATATTCCTCGTGGTGACTAGTTAAGTCATGCTATACAGAGATCTACATACAATTCAAAATATTTATGGCCCTGAGATATTATTGGATCAGCAAGTTCCTCACGGCGGCACCTAGCCCATTCAGGATGTCGTATTTCTTTCTGCTAGGGCTGTTATGCTCTCTACCGTGATAAGTTAACACACCTATGTGTTCTCATCCTCACTAGGTAGACGGATTTGGTATGACCTATGCGCAACTGGTAAGTATGACCTTTTCCCTTCTATATCCAGCCTACATTTTTGCTTCTCTCAGGTTCAGTAATTATTGGCGCTTTATAAAATAATGATAAAAACCAAGGAAAATTACTCTTTTTCCACTGCCAATCTAGCTATCAGGTTGGGTTCTGTATTACAAAGAATTGACTGGTTTTATTTGTGATTGTCCTTCAACGCAGAAATTTTTATTAAAGTTTAGTAACTAGGGCTAAGCCCCACATTCGCGCTAATAAATTACATTCACACCCCAGACTTCATTCACATTACCCCAGAGTACTCGATAAGCCACCACATTCGCACACCAGGCTTCGTTCACACTACCGTCGATCTTTCTCGTGGTAACTAGGGATAAGCTAATAAATGCAATCGTTCTAATAAATAAATAACGAATCATTATCATTATTAAAATCAATATCATATAAGAGAACTACTGTATCTTCTATACCTGTATTTTTGTTATAGTATGCATGAAAAAGAAAACTATACTGAACTGAAGAGGGTAGACAAACGCCCCAGAAATCGATTTCTAAATAAATAAATTAGGATAATACAATTTTTCTATTTCTGAAGATATCAAAATTCTAATAAATAGATAATATAAAAATTGAATTTCAAGGTTTTTAATGAAGACTGTTCGTTTTACGGCTAATTAAACAGAGAAACAAAAGAATCGGTCAATTTTCAAAGTGCAATGAACCCAAATGGATTGTTCGTTCAAAGGATCGAACCAAGGTGCAACAGTGCATGCAAATATAAAGCCCAAGTTGCTGCTACATGTCGTTCGAACCATTTTGTTGATGGTTCCTCACAGTTTCTCTCCTTCTTCACCGTATTTCACAGAAAGGATGAAAATTGAATGTGAGAAATTCCAGGAGAGCCGATGAGAAAATATAACACGATTCGGATGGTTTAGAAGTAGACCAGATGTACTTACGTGGTCTTGTGATGCTTTTACTTCGTTTTTGAAACTGTTACCACGTTGCTTGTGCTAATTCGATTTCGGTGATGATGTAAGTATTTAAAATGCATCGTTTAACAATAAGTTCAGCCTTAGTAGCTAAAAAAGGCGTGCGCTTAACAAATGAAATTAAATCTCTCAGGGAGAGTTGTCCATGGAGGTGGAATGGTCGGTTGTACGAGTGGTTAATGGACGTAAATCCCGTATCCCAGAGTCAAGCCGTACTGCGGAAATACTATAAACCCAGACCCCCTGTTTCCGGGCGACTCTGCAGATTTTACATGAAGTTGCACAGGAAAACAGCTGTTGGTGGAACGAGCCTCGTTTGATTCGATCCTTGTGACATAAAATTGCGACTATTTAGCCGGCTGGACTTTAATTTCGACCGGGGCACGAGAAGCAGATGCTTCACTTTAATCCCTCCCAGAGCTTATCGGGCCAATTCCAGTCAGATGAAGGTCTGATTGTTGATATTGGACGAAAATATTAATTTAATTAAAAGCATACTTTTTATAAAAAGACAGAAATTGATATTTCTGTTGAAACGAACGGCAGTTTATAGCCTTGTTGAAAGGTTGAAAATAGAAAAATGGTAATGCTTGCGGAACGGAACCATATCGGATGGAATTCCAGTCGGGTTGAAACAACTTCCAGCTTCAAACGTTCTCCAAGGCATCAGCAACGTTTACAATTAAAGTCTACCAGTAAAATCGACATCATTCTCTCTTTTCTTTCCAGTTCGACACGGAAATTAAATCTTTGATTATTACATGAATTCTGCCTAGACTTTATGTAACGAAAGCATTGTTGGCGAGTGGTCTAATATCTTTTGTAAATAAAAAAATTAAATGCAAACTTATTTTGAAGAGCTTTGAAAGGCCGGAGCGAAGAGCGTTGAAAGCGACTGGAGGTGCAACGGGATTAAGTCACTTGTCAAGTTAATGTATGGTTGTAAAGACAAAATTCAAAATAAAGCGCTGATTACTGTAGAGTTGGTTTCGGAATGGAGAGGACACAAGAGCTACCGTTGTTTTTTCAGAGTTAGCTCTTTTGATCAGCTCGCGAGCTCCCCATCACTAACACCGACAGCGAAGCACCTCGTGCAATAGTACCACCACAAGTCAGTACAGGATTGCACTGGGCACAAGGAACAAATTGCCACTTGTGAAGTTAGGGTTTACTGGAAGGGTAATGAAGAGGCAAACATCCCCAACCCTCTGTAAAAACTCAGATTACTATAAAAGATAAAGTAACCGCCGAATGGATTAATTTAAAGACTCATGGACTCCAGGATATAGGTAGGCGACAGACTTCATCAAAAAGTTCTCTAACTCGAATCCTATCCAAAATCAACAAACTTCCAACATCCAAGAACACCTTGAGCTTTTCGAAGACTGGCGTAGAAAATGGAGGAAAGACTGAATGATGTCTAAGGATTAGTAAGGTCAATGCTCATTTGCTCACGTACTCGTGATTTTTAAAATGTCTTTTGTCCAGATAAATCTTTAGTCAAATAGCGCCACGTCTGGGATATAAGTACGGAGAGGCAAGATGGTTTGTTTCCTATATTTATGCGAATTCCAATGCTAATGATGCGTAAATGTACTTAACCAATAACACCATTTTCTGTTTTTATTTCTTAACCATTTCGGAGTTATTTTTTGTGTTTTTCGAGATTTGAATCATAGCCTAAGGCGGTTAAAATATCAATAATTTCCATTTGACTGAAGATGTCGAGAAGCCGAACAGCAAGGATTGGAAGACCAAAACTGTAGTAAACTACCGAATACAATCATTATCTTGTATACATATACCAGTAGCAAAAAGTATTTTTCAATTTGCCTTCATCATACAAACAGCATTGTCTCTGTCATCATTCTGATGGTTACTCATTGATGTTTGTAATCAACCGTAATTGTCTGTTATAATTTCAATTACTTCCGGGATATCCAGGTCAGTGTGCAGGACAGAAATACTTACCGAGCACACCATGGCTAGGCGAGCACTTTGGATTGTCCGAACCCTTTGGATGGGTGTCTCGGCGGATGAGCACCATAGACCTCAGGTATTGCCTGATGGGCCGGATCATATGATGAAGGAAAGATCCTATGATACTGTATTACGGAACTCTAGCCTGCGGTTGGTTTAGACTGTGATGTTGCATGAGAACACCTCCCAGAGAAGGTGCGTGAAAACAGAAAAATGTGACAGCCTCAGGTGTCCGGTAAATGTGGTTTTATTGGGTTGTCCGGAAAATAATGCAGGATTTTGGTATTAAACAAAAAAAAAGAAACTAGTTACTTTAAAGCAATGTTCTTTAATCAAAATAATNAGGATTAATAAGTGTTGACATTCATACAAATGAGTAATCCTGTAAACGTAAACAGAATATTTTATATAGATTTTTTTGAATGAAAACTTAAAATCCTGCATTATTTTCCGGACAACCCAATAGTTTAAATAGCAGACCTGGTTGCTAAACCCCTTCTCAGTCACCAAAAACACTCCTTTCTTCATAGGCACTGAGAATTTGAACTCCTTTTGTCGTTGGGATGTTTAGTGCGTAGCCATCTTTAACCAGGGGAGATTATACGAGCAGATTCTTTACTTTAATTATTCTTCACTGGAGAAGGTGCTTCATTAGCTGCTGAACGTATAAGATTTGTTAGTGTGTTATGGCGGAATGTTCATCCGTCTTTAGCGGGACATTTAACACCATCTTTTCTTGTATGTGAGACTTGTAACACGGCCAATCGAATGGGTAGTTGATCGATTCTAGCTCTTCTTCTGAAGAAAGCAAAAAAATTGAGTTATATACCACCTTTATATAATAAACGTAAAAATTTAAAAAAAATTTGCTTTTCCTAATCAGGATAAACAGCAACTACCAAGGACCTGTGCCCATCACCGCACAGACCTCAACACAATATTTCAAAATGTAGTGTTTTGGTAAGACATGGTAAAACATCTCTAAAAATTTAAAACGTATGGAAAAATTCATGACGTTTAAATTTAAGTTAATTTATAGCTTGATCGTCGTGCCCAGCTTATACTCGCTGGTCTAGACTATCAGACACGGCTCTACAATTTTAATAGTTGGTCTATGTGTTTTTCATGTTCTCAACACTGCTGAACACGGCAGAGATTTGTTGTCAAAAAATGTTAGACTCATATCGTAAGGATGAGTACCAATATTACGTTTTATTTTTTCTTTACAGTAGAATATTAAAATCTTATCTTCACCTTATTTTCCTCAGCATGAACAATATTTCAGGTAAAGGAGCATGGGTCAGAAATTCCAGGGCCGGTGGGAATCGAACCCACGAGCAAT